ATGACCGAGCTTCTCACCCTATCTCTAAGGGAGAGCCCAGCCACCCTACGGAGGAAACCCATTTCGGCCGCTTGTGTCCTAAAGTCCTAAATTACATTCAAAATCACACAAAAGAGAGAAAAACAGAAAAACAGAGATTAGTAAATCAAACAGCCTGTTTATAGAACATGCCTACAGTAAATTACAATGCATAATTTTATTTATTTTAAAATAAGCAACAAAAAGGGCAAAACCGTTCATGCATCCTAAAGTCAGTACTTTGTAGATTTATCTTTTGCAGTAATTATGATTTTCTTTGGATAGGGATCTATGAGCTTTCCAAATTATACCAGTGGGATTGTTGCCCACACCTAAAAAAAGAATCGCCTCAGTGATTTCAAGATTTCAAGTCTAACCACAGATCCTTATTTGCATTAAGGTCTCGACTTTGACCAGACCATTTTAGTTTATTTAAATGTTTATTTAAATGATTCCCCTTAAAACAAACAAACAGTTGGTTATTGTCCTGCTGGAAGGTTAACCTCTGTAATAATTTCAAACCACGGACAGAATATCCCAGTTTTTAAAACAATACCTTTAATTCTGATCAAATTTTCAGTCTGTGCTGACACTTTCTTGCAACACTTCTTTCCTAAATACAGTTTGGGCGTTACCCCTTGCCTTCTGGCAAACTCAAAACATGCCATGTTACTTTTTAACAATGAGGCACTAGAGAGAGAATTAGATGGAACCGCAAAGATATCCAGATGGATACACGACTAAATATTGTTATAGGAGAGGATAAAGGATTTTTTTTTTTAAACCAGAGTGAATAAATCATAGAACCCCTGTTTCATGTTTAGGTGTGTACATAACAATTTTTTTTAAACAATGACCTTACAGCCTGATTTTAACATGTGACCCGCATGTGCCTCTTTACCACCTTGTTGCTGAGTTTATATCATATGAGTCGTCTGCGCATGCCCAGTGTTTTTCTCAGTGGTTTGGGTGTGATCCTGCTGCAGTGTCACAGCACCACCTAAGAGCCCAGCATATGTACTACAGCGCTGTTATTGGTGCAACGTAGGCCTTAGTAATGGCCTTTTTCTGGCCACTCTTCCATAAAGACCATTTAAGTTACATGTATCTCTCATTTTTTAGCCGCGCACACATCCTCCAGTCCCTAATGTGGAACTCAGTAGCCCTTTAAGGGTTACTTTTGGCTCTGATTAATGCTCTCCTTGTCTTTTATTGGGGCTTTGGTGGTCGGTTGGAAAGTACTAGAGCAAGTGTGGCTCTGGTACTTTCCATTAGCAGATTATTCTTGACCAGAGGTGGATAATCCAGCTCCAAATAAGAAAAAACCCACAGCTTGAAATCAGAACCACTGGGATCCAAGCGCCATGCCCTAACCACTAGGCCGTCTGTCTGTCTGTCTGTCTGTCTGTCTGTCTGTCTGTCTGTCTGTCTGTGTATCATGATCTTGGCACTGATGACTGATTTATTGGTTCATTCCCTTCACCTGCTTTGCTCTGCCCATTCTCTAATCAATGTACATCTTATCCACCTGCTCCTATCTGTATTTAAGCTTCTTGCTCCCAGTCATCAGCGCCAAATTATCCGAGTCTTCGTACCTGTTGTTGTTCTGATTTCCTGATCTTGACCAGTTCTGCCCTCGGACCTTTGAGCCTACCTGTTCCTGTTTTGGATCTGTTTGCCTGACCTGTCTTAGGACTCCTGCTGGTTTCTGCTCGTGAACAGAAACTGGATCCGTCTCCTGACTTGACTTGGATTCCCCCCCGTACCTCTCCGGATCTTTGATCTTCTGGTCTGGGCTCTGTTAACCTCTTTGACACTGCCTTGGACTTCATCTTCTGTAAACTCCTGCCTTCCTTTGTCTGCTTGGATCTGCTCGTCAGCCAATTCAGCAGTCGTCAGGCTCCGCCTCCTGGAATTCTCTGTGCGGCGTTCGTCGTGTGCCGTGTTAGCCATCCAGCTGGATTCTTTTCTACTATATTTTTTTCTGGGCACAGACTGAACTGTACAACCAAGTAATCGCCCTCCGTCAGATTTACATGGTCATTAACCTGAGTTTTCCCTCTACAAAGATTACAGCCTTTGACGCTTTGTTATAACACTAATCTGTCTGCTTCAAATTCTGGGTCCTCACTTCACATCTTTCTGTCTGTCTGTCTGTCTGTATATCCCTCCGTTCATCCGTCCGTCCATCTTCTCTCTTTCTTTATCTGTTTATTCATTCATGTCACTACATATTTTACTATTCTGTGAAGATCCATCAAATAAAAGCTTTGAAGTGGTCATATAATTAAATAGTTTAAAAGGTGCCTTGGACCCAGCTCTTCTTCTATTGATTGAAAGATGTGACCACCTTCACCAGTTTCGATTTTTTTATTCAATGATTGGAGGTAACAAATGAAAGAAAATTAAGCACAATTTACACTTTCACTAACTACTAATTTCCTCAAAATACAAGGCTGCTAACAGCTTTGATTGAGTCACTTGAAGAGCTCTTACAAACAATGCAAAGCACTTCTGCCAGAACATCTGCAGAAACAATCTGGGTCACAGTACGTCACATTTAGTGCTCGAGTGCCACTACAAATATTGAGACACTTTACAAGACGGTAACAAAAGCATTAATTTTAATAAAACTGAAGAGATGAACAGAACAGGGACAATCTGATGAAAATTTTATGAACCGATTTTTAAAGTCTGTGTTCTTAGTTTAAATGCTGTAATTTAAATTCTTGATTTGAAAAAAAAGGAGATGATTCTTTATTGGTAATGCATTCCTATATTCACAATCAGAATTTAAAAAACATTATTAATATTATTGATCACTCACAGCCTTCTGCTCTACCTCCTATTTTGAACATTGATGATGATAACAGAATAGTTACTAAACTTGTACTCAGTTGTCCCTGATCCATTCCTCAATATTTATTTGAACATCTAAACAAAAATATTAGATCTACTTTTTGGCACTTTTTTCACTATTTCATACCTCAACTGACCAAACAACGATGCAAAAGCGACTCCAGTCCCTCACAGTGTTTATTGTCTCTGCTTGACTGGTGAATCCTTTTTTTAAGACAGTTTCATACTAGGAAAAATGCTAATTTAAGCAAACTAAACAAAACAAACAAACAAACAAAGAGAGCTGCATTAAATAAGTTACAGAAAACAACATTTTGACATCATAAATAACCAATGCATCACCTACTCTATTTATACCTACATTTAACCCATGTTTACGCCTGCATACAGTGCCTTGCAAAACAATTTCTATATTTAGTCACATAAAACAACATAATGCAAGAAGTCCTGTTTTAAATGACTACAAAAAAAAAAAAAAACAGCAAACCTGAGCAGGACGGTGTCTTGGTCGAAAGGTTTTGGCCGACATGCAAAACTGCTTGTCAGAAAACTTTCACAAAAATATCAACCTGAAATCCCCATCCCTTCAACGCCGCATAGTGGTGGAGGTATCATGCTGTGGGTCATGAAATGCAGTTCTGCAAACTGTTAAATTCCAAATGAAATTGTTTTCTGGTTAAAATGTGACAAACTCGGACTAGGTTCAAATGAACACCTCTGCAAGGCTTATTGTCTAAATGTGACATGTACAAACACATCTCCCCTGAGGCATGTGACTCATATATTTAAAGAAAGCCAGCGCTGAATGTTACACTGTTAGCAGTCAATGGACGCCTAACCAAAGTACTTGCTGAACAGTCAAAGAGATTGTGGAGGTATAGGTTTTAATGAGATTTAGGATCTTATATTTTAATGAGATGTTAGGAGTAAAGCAGTCCCTGAGAGGAGTTTTCTGTTACAGTCTCCAATAGTCTGAGGTCAGACACCGACAGAAGTGGGCTGCACACTGTATGACTCTTATCATGAATACATTGCATTTTTCTTTAAAATGTAACATTTATACAGGCATCAGTACAGTGCAGCCATGACAGCAGGCTATATATTTATATACAGTACTTTCCCCATCAGTGAGCAGCTTAGACATGTGATCCTCAAATCTTTCAAATGTGCTCTGTAAAATGTTAAAACACCTTGTTCAGGACTACTTTACCTTTTTTTAGATAATTTTTTAGATAATAAATATTACTTGGAAGTGTTTACCTTGTAAGCATGCTGAATGGTCGTGAGAATTTACAAAGTCCTGAAAATGCATCTTGCCAGAAGCCAATAGATGCATTCGCCTTCATGCAGAAATGAACCAATGAAATGCAGTGACACATATGATGTCAACCAGAAGCGGCAGGCTGAAGCAAAACAAAGGTGGCTACGCCGATGGTCGAACCTGTAGACTTCGCTATTCAGTCTGTTTTAGCTGGAATATCATCTATTACTTTTTTTATGAGCCTGTTTGAATGGGAAAGATGTCCCAGATTTGGTAAGAGTTTGGTTTACTGTGGTTAAGTCCACAAGTTGTGAAACAAATCATGAATGTGATACGCCACCGCTGCTACGGCTGCTGCGATTAGCTAAACACTCGACATGGAAAGCAAGTCCCATTTGGTGATTCACCCAACCAGCTCAAAGAATTGCACTGAACGTCCCTCCCTTTTGCAAACACTTTCCACAGGAGCCTTTCCATTTTAATCTGGCTTAAGCCCTGTTAGCAAAATGAAAGGATCCAAACAAAGACAGGAAGTACCTTTTATGGGTTTGGGATGCAGTCAGCCGGACCCAATTTTGATCAAACTTAATTGTCTTTCTGAGCTCTAAAGTTTTGTAACACTGACAAACCGGATATAAACTTCTTCAGTGGCTCTGTTTCCAAACAGAACAGCTCATATCTGCTTTGCATCAGTAAACTCTGGATTATTGAGGCCACTGGTTACAAATCATAAGCCCTTGGAATGACTTCTTTATTAAATTACCTACAGCAGATCATGTCTGCTCAGGCTGAAGACGCTACACTGGTCCTGGTGAAATGACCAGTGAAGCTGCACAGAGGAATTCAGTCCTTGAGCTGACCCAATGTGTGCGCATGTGCTTTCTAATGACTAATCCAAATATTACTGAGCTTTTCTTTGCCGTCTTTTATTCAGCGGCTTCTTCCTCTTTTTTTCTCTAGCAAATTAATTTACAATATAAAAAAGCTGTACATCTTTTTTGTCAGGCTGCAGATACAAGCACTCATCATTCTGACTAGATGACGGTGACTCTGTAGTTCGGGTCGTTTGTCGTGCTGGAGCCGTCGGTTTTGACCACGGTGGCTTTGGACGAGTGCTGCGAGCTGTACAGGACGTTCCGCCGGCAGAGGCGCTCGCGGTAATTCTGGGCAAAGATGAGCAGCATTAGAGGGTTGATGCAGCTGTGCGAGTAGCTGAGGCAGATGCTGATGTTGTAGGCGTAGACAAAGGCGATGGTGGGCGGGTTGTTGCTCAGGTTGATCACCTGGATGACGTGGTAAGGTGACCAGCAGATCAGGAACAAGGCGATGACCATCAGCACCATCTTGGTGGCCCTCTTCGCCCACACCGACTGCTTCCGCTTGACGCGGCGGATGGAGCTGAACACGTGGTAAAGGGTGAGAGAGTAGAAGGTGCTGATGATGATGAGGGGAATAATGAAGCCCAGGATGGACTGGTAGAGAGTGTACCAGTACATGTCCTCGGGTCCGTCCAGGTTCATCATGCACACCTTCATGTGCAGCCTGTGGACCACCGTGGCGTAAATCATGACTGGGACGGTAAGGAGGAAGCTTCCCAGCCACACAAGCATGTTGATTACGATGGTCCACTGCACGGTCCTCCTCTCTGAGCTGGGATGCACAATAGCGATGTACCTGGCAGGAAAAAAATCAACTTTTTACAACCAAAAATAGATAATAGTAACTGAATAAAGTACATTTTTGAACAAATGGCATAGCAAAGGAGGTCATGCTGTTAAGAAACAGTGATAATGAGTTAAGTGCCCTTTGAGAATTTTTTTCTTGCAAGAAAAAGAGGAGTGTTTGCAGATGTCTAACACATTTTTGCAAAGAAATGTAATTCAACCAAAAGAACAGAGGAGCCATTTAAGTGCCCCAAATTATATACATCCAGCTGCCTTTTAATTTCAGGGTGCCATCTTTGTTCCAATTTTCTATAACAACAATCTTGCAATTTCTATGGAACACTTTCTACAGCAGTGTTAATAGGTTAGAATAAAAAGGAAAATGGAACATTATGTTTTACAAAGACAGAAACTGAAGGAACTGGTGAAAATAGCCTGCAGCCTAAATGTGGCATTTTGTGACTGCGTTTCTACCTGTGCTCTGAGTCTGAAGACAGATTATGCCTTTGCAAACAAAAAACAACATGAAATATTCTATAATAGCAGATTGAGATTGATTAGAAGAAATTGCCATATTTCTATAATTTGGGAGAAAACCTGTTCTTAGGCTGACCTTCTAACCTAAATGCTGTCTTTTTACAAAACTTTACACAAAGCAACCATTCGATTTTTTTTTTGTTTGTTCAGTATTTAGAGGTTTTCTGCTTTTCTTTTCACTTCCAAGCTTTACTGAGTCACCTGTTAGAAATAATGGAGCTGCAGTAAAAGGGGTCTTTGATCTTTTTGGGTAATTTCTACAGCTTTGTGTGTTAAAAAAATACAAAGGAATTTGAGATGGGTAAATATTAAGTTTCATGATGTCTTCTTGCTTTATAAACATAAATTGATGTTGGAATGACCCAATGTGTTCATGTGAAACAGCTCAGGATGACCAGTGTACATGTTCTTGATGTGCTTAGATCATAAACATGGCACTCAAACCGTACATACTTGTCATGGTGAATAAAACGTTTGTTAAAACTCTTCAAGGGTTAATCGAAAAAGCTTATCCTTAACTCAAATCCATACATATGCAGTAAAAAAATCCATTTTAGAAGGTAATGATTGCGAGATATTTAGTAAACAGACCAAATTTACTGCTATGTATTCAACATTAAATACTGCTTTTCAGAAAACAAAACACTGCAGTAAGATTTATAAATTTTAAGTCAAACTTATGAATGTTTTTTTAGCCGATGATGTCTAAAGGAATCTAAAGTGAGAGGCAGGATTCCCAGATAGAGAACATTTGCAACATAATGCTGAACTACCAAAATTACTCCAAGAGGTCATCAGCGACTCATTCAAGAGGGCTAAAAAGAACCCAGGACAAACATTTTAATGGTACATTTGATTCCACCAGAGGGATATTCATCTTTCCCATCTCAGATTCTCATAACCATAACAAAAACTCTATTTAACACAATATTTTCAGCTTATAAACAGCGCTGATGTATGTCATTTTATAAACAGTGAAATTTTGTGCTTGTCTAAATGTCAAGAAAAGCTAAAAATTGCTAGCCTCGCGAGACCATCCTGATCTCGCGAGCTTTCAAGGTTTCACTCGCTAATCAGTCTGGAGACTCTCCGTTGAAGAAAATTTGGAGCCGTTCACCAAACGAACGTCCAATCAGCGTTGGCTTTGAGGCGGGTTGAGGTGTGACGCAACGAGAAGCGCGACAGTTCAGTCTAAAGAACATGGCGGCTTCAGACGATGAAACTAGCGTTAGCGTGGCTATCGAGCAAGTTTTATCGGAATTACAGAGTATTTCTTCACTGAAAGAAGAGCAAAACACTGCTCTGGAGGCTTTTCTCAGAGGAAAAGATGTTTTTGCTCTTCTCCCGACTGGTTTCGGCAAGAGTAGCCTGGCTGTTAGTACGTCATATGCTTCGTTGATCTGATTGGTTTATTTGGACCGTCTATCACCAACATAGGCCAATCAGCTAACCAGTATTTTCGCCCCTTCCCAAAATTACTTCTATGGAAGGTTTCCATCTGGCGGAGTCAGGTTAAAAAATTGCTAAAAAAAAAGAATCCAAAGGTACATCTCACATTTAAGTTCAAGGCACTTAGGTTATAAAACTCTGACCTAAAGCAAAACAGTAAGTTCATCCCTGAAAGAGTTCATCAGGATGAAAACAAGATTATAGAATAGTCTATTCAAAGTCAAAGCTTAAATCCAGTCACTGGGGCATGATTATAAAAAGGCTTTTCATGTTTCAACATGGCTGAATTAGATTAAATCAACAAAGATCAGTAAATCAATTTCCTTCCAAACAATGGGAAAATATTTTTATCATTTTAAACACTTTATGACGAATCCCTGAAAACCCTGAAAGGTTTGGATGTTACCACTCCTTCCCCAATAAATGAACTCATATAGAAGCTGCGTTTACTGTCAGATTATCTCACATGATGTCAGATTTACTCGATCTGCAGCTTGAAAGTGTGACTGCAAAAAAAGAAAAAGAAAAAATCTGGAGGGCAAATATTTGTACAGGATTGTATAAGAGTTGGATTGTGACTAAATGTGTTAGATTAGTAGGAATTAAAAAGACACGAGTTATGGAAAGTTTTTGTGCTGGAGTGAAAATTTGAGTTCTATGGAGCTTTAGTAAAAATACACAAAAAAATAATCCAACTATTCTATTTTTGGCATTTACTTAATCCTATGTTTTAACTTTAACACAATTGTTTAACGTTTAATGGTAGACATAAAACAATTGTGTTAAAGTGAATAAAAAGGGATTGCATAATTTTTTTTTCAGTGTATTATTAAAAACAGATAAACCTTTTTAAAGTTAACACAGCAAAAAAATATGTTTGTATTATTACTTATAATATGCTTTAGTTTATTCTCAAACCATTTCTTATTTAGGTTTATTTTAACTGTTTTAACAGATCAGAATAATCTAAATGATGAGTCAGAAGCAAATCCATCTAATTTTTTTCACATTTTTAGAAAATGACTGTTTAGCTATCAGCAAATGCCATCATACTCCGATTGACATAAATACACTTATTAAATTAAATATTTCCATTTACATAAACAAATATATAAAGCTGACAGTTGTGCTTTTTTTTTAAGGAATCTACTTTATCAGTTTGAAAAAAATGTATTGAAGTTCTATTTTAACAATATAAATAAAATGTTTACATATACATTTACAATAACGTACTTTAACTGGAATATGCAATTACCTTCCACTGCACTTTAATTTAGATAGCTTCTGTCCAAACTATATATAAATACATAGTTTGGACCAAATATATGCTATTGTACATAACTGTAAAAACCCTTTTTATAGTAATATCCACCTGTATATTATCTTCGGTACATATCCAGCTGTAAATTTAGTTCATAACACTAGTTTTCTATATATTATATTGATCTATTAGAAAGATTCTGTTTATAATAGTATTCATCTCTATACTTATTCAGTAGAACTCATGTCCTGTATTTATGGAACCATTATTTATCCTGCACTTCTGGTTAGACCTAAACTGCTTTTCGTTGCTTGTACCTGTACATGTGCAATGACAATAAAATTGAATCTAATCTAATCTAATCTAATCTAAAATGTAACTGACTTTCACTTGTCTGTGCATTATCTATCTCATGTGAAATGCATTTTTCATTCTTTTAGCAAATTATGGTTTGTTAATAATTGTTGATATAATAAACAATTAAACAGTGATGCTTTTGGTCTTACTTAGAACAGTTTTGTCATTTTTCCAGCGTTTTATTGTCATTAAACAATGTATTCTCTGCATTTAACCCATCCCCTTGGGCAGCAGTGGGCTGTTAAACTTATAGTAATTTAAATTCTAATTGTTTGTCTTAACAGGGTAAAGTGAACATCTTCATAAAACAATATATGCTGTTATTCTCTGCTGTTATTGATTAATTGGTTGATTAATTGACTGTCAGTCCCCATCAATGATAACATGGTTTAGTAGGTGATGCACAGGTTGTTTTTAATGACAGTCTTACCTACCTATCAATGCACAGCACTGTCACTATCCCCACGGTGGTGAACTGGTTGCTGACATCCACCACCACCACCGCTTTGCACATAAAGTTTCCGAACACCCACTGCCTGTCTCTGACCAGCTGGTGGATGTTGAAGGGCATCACCAGCAGGAACAGCATGTCAGCTATGGCCAAGTTCAGCACGTAGATGTCCGACACCATCTTCTTCTTGCAAGCTGCCACCGCGTAGATCACCAGCGCGTTGGCGATGACTCCGACGGAGCACAGGATCCCGTAGATGGAGGGGAAAATGTGCATAAAGGTGGTGATGTCGATGGGACTGTAAGGCGTGGCGGTTGGAGATAAACATGACTGATCGCTTAAGTTGGATGAGGTGTTGTTATTGCAGATTACATCCGTGTCATTCATATTTAGGTCCCTTGAAAATAGGTGCGCTCTGCAGCTGGAGTCTGCTGTCCAAACTTGCGCGTAAAACTTGATCTCTGCTTTCTCAGCAGCGCGGATACCAGGAACTCCACTCGCTCGGTCGGATTTTATGTCCCAAAGTTAAGAAGTCTGAGCCAGAGTGACTGCATGAGCAACAGATGCCATGTGAGGCAGCTATGATCTGGACAACATCTGTGCGCAACTGCTCCAAACGCTGAGAGCCACAGCGGACCTTCAGTTCCCTCCCTTTTACTGATCATATGTGGGTTGTGTAACACTAGCAAATGAAAGGAAGGACTCTTTACTGGTGATCCAGCTTTGGATTCAAAGTGGGATCTACATTCATATTGTTTAAATCATTTCCACTGTTTGTTTGCTTGAAGAATAATAAATATATAACAAAAAATGTGAGTCTATAAATCACTGGATAATATCATGTTTTTGTCTCTAATCTGGAAACAATTTAGCTTTTACTTCTTTAAAGCTGCCAAGCTATTTACTGGAGATGTAGGAGAAATAAACCCAAAACTCCAGGATCTTTTTTATTTTGAATTTGAATTAATTCTCCTGGTTTTTGTTCCACTTTAGTTAAATTCCTTCCCTATTATTTTTTATTTACATCAACAGCCTTTATTTATACTTGGAACATACATCATAAAGCAGCATAAACAGAAATAACTATTAGAATAATCCTACCTTTCATTCTGTAACAGAAAAGTGATAAATATTAACATCACTGTTTTCCTGAATGTAACACCAAAAACCACGTGCTGCCATTCAGACATCCTCTGCTTTTCTTTTCGTTTCTGTATCATAACAGTGTACTTTCACCCCCTTTCTAATGAAATACATAAATGGAGAATTAATTTTCAAACATAACAGTTGTATCTGGAAGCGTAGCATACTATAAATATCATATAAATTTAATCATGAACTGTACACAATACTGAAATAGATTCGTTAGGAAGAAAATTATTAATTATTTCTCTATCCACACAGATTTATGCAGCTTTTATGACAAAATTTATAGTTTAGTGATCAAGTGAAACATTTTATTTCAAAGAAAAATAATTGATTGTGTGTAGATGTTAGAGAGGAAGGCTGCACTGGCATCTTATACATGTAACATCACCTCTGTTCCAATTCTATGTATTTAAAGAGAATAATCTAGAAAAAATGTAAAACTGCTAAATATTATTGAATTTGTTTAAAATATTTAAAACATATTCTTTGTAAAGATTCATTTAAAACAAAGACTTAGGTTTAAAATGATGATTATGGACCAGGACAGTCAGTATAAAAGAATTAAATTCTACCTTCAAAATCCAATCTGAAGTGTTTCCTAAATGTACATTTTTGATTAAATTATTAAAGAGGACCTTTAAATTGTATTTAAAAATTTGCAACTTGAAAATATATTTTCAAAACTATTTTGAAATGTAGATTTAAAACCCACATTTCAAAAATATGGTTATAAATAATTTATCTTATCTAATATTTAAAAAGGTCAATTCCATTTCCTTTTTCACTTTGCATTTTAAAATCATTTTTGTAGTTTGATATTTTTTCATTACAGAACTAAAATTCTCTGAAAACTTCAAGGATATACAAAGGCAACAAAAAAATGAATAAATACCTGAATCTTCTGTCAGCACCATAAACATTACAATGCTCGCCTCGAGGACATCATGTACCTAGATGTGCAGACTGCTTCTACAATCAATCTATAATATTTTAGTCTATAGCAAAATCAAACTGCATTGCAATCATGTTAGGGGTTTTATTTTATTTTTTCAAATAAATTTAGCTTTTTCTTAACTATCAATAAAATTAACAAATGAGAATTTTCTTAAATAATTAAATATTTTGTTGAGTTAATTTGCAACCAAGGGAAGTGACAAATAGGAATTTAAATTCAAAGCAACTTTAGGAAATTACATAAAGATTTTATAAATAAAAGAAGAATTTTCGTCAACATTATTATAATTTTTTATATCAATACAGAAAATAAAAATAAAAAAAGGAAAACTGTTTATCCTTCTTTCATGTTTTTACCAAGAACACTCCAGATAACCTTTACACTCTCCTCCTGTTCCTGTTCACTGTATTTTCACCCTTACTAAACCACTTCAGGACATCATGAGGTTTTTTGAAGTGAATATCTTTTGAATTCCACTCAGGGAGCCTCATATCAAAAATATGATTTTCTTTGGAGCGTCTTTAAAGGACAGGAGCCAATCTGATCGACGCAGAGCAGCAGAAAGGACTCTGCTGGGATCTCACCACAGGTCAGCGGGAATTGATGCGCTTTTTTCATCCGGGCCCACAGGTACAGTTTGTTCAAACTCTCTGGCAGATCATATCAGCTTCATCCACTGTGCAGTGTGCATGGACATGTCACTATTTCCTCATAGGCTATGATATCTGGATTTACAGACGTAAATAACAAAAGAAATGTAGTCCAAACTACATATTTCAACGCAGCTCTCACATAAAAACGAAATCAGTAATTTGTATTTCACCATCTTTATCCTTGAACCTTGTACCAAGAGATTAAACCGCCATACTAACCATAAATGTTTTGCACTTTGTAAAGGTACAGCCAGACGTTTCAGTGCATTTTATGAGGACTGGACAGTAGTAGCCATTCAAAATTTCCCCACTCTCCTTGATGGGCCCTTTGCTGGTTTTCCTGGCTGGTTTTCCTGGCTGGTCAACTGGTTTTCCTTAGATAGAAAACATTGAATCAATTTGACAGTATGATCTGGTTGAATTCTATCTTCAAAGTGTAAACTGTAAACATCAATCTTTGTACTAAAATATTCTTTCTGTCATGATTTGTGGACATTAAGACCTAAAGAAAAGCATCATCTCCTGATCAGACCCTGTAATTCAGTGAAAGGATGGAGTCAGAGTAAAAAAATATGAAAGAGGGGGGTCACTCCAGAGGAAGTTTTAGGGGATTTCGCAGGGAGTTGGAGGGAAGTGGGCTGCCATTCGGCTGGTGTTTTACTGGGAAGCGCCATTTTGAATGGCTGCTACTGTATATGATAGACCAGCACAAATTAGCACAGAATACTGAATTGAAGATAAATTATTTCAATACATGGCTATAAAAGAAGTTTTACAGTTAGATATAAGACAAGCAAGGCATGCATCTGTTGTCACCCCCAGAGTCAGTAACTTAAACCAACCTTCGCTGCTATTAGAGCATCAGTTTTTTTAAAGTATATCTCCAACACCTTTGCAGCTGGAAAGAACTAATTTCCTGCTGTTCTTTACCAAACAGCTCAAGCTAGATTCTCGACTGATTCTTTGGTTCGATAATGGTCTTTACTTTGACTAGGCCCTTTGAACATGAATATATTTATGTTCTAAACCCTTCTAAAGGTAGTCCACAACTAATAATTGTCCTGTCAACTTATTCCTCCACATGAGCTGTAGAAACTTGTAGCTCCTGCAAAGTTGTTATAATTATTATTTATTTATAAAGCATGCTGGAAAGGTAGGTGCAAACTGATAATAAATGATAATAAAATAAATAACTTATGACAAATAAAAGGAAAAGCTAGTGTCTATAGTTTTGCTTTAAAAGCATCGTACCTGTTTATGCACAGTTGTGAACCCTGAGCAAGAACAGTTTAGTTTGAACTGTAAGCCCCGCCCCTAACTTTCTTCCATTGAGAAACTTTCCTCCCAAATAGAAAAGTAAGGAATATATATACATGCCTAGGAGGTTTGACAGCCTGCTTTGAGTCCAGGTTCAGTCTGAGGCGGTTCTGAAAAGCTCTCCACCTCGACAAAGCTAGTCTGAGATTTGCAAGAGCTTTGTTCCTTTTTTTGTCATTCTTCCATTTTAACTCTCTCTTGTGTTCCTCTATTTTGACCCCTTTAAACTGTTTTGCTCCATATGCAGTGAAAGCCTAACCTGACAGTAGCCAGATTTATAAGTCTAGAGTTGAGTTCTACGTTATCAATCTGGGATTCCTGCCATTCAGTCTGAAAAGGAGGGACATTTAGAAAAATATTTTGAGCTGATTGGATGACATACTAGCTAGTACCCGGCTTCCATAATGCGCTTTCAGCCAATCGTAGCAGCAAATCGTGACGTTTAATAAGCTGATAAAACAAACTTTTTCCAGATCCAGTCGGAAGAAAAGAACAAACATATTTCCCATCAACAAATACACTAAGTGCTTCTCTTTGCTCCGTTTTTCAGAAGAGAAATTGTTGCTATTTTAGCAAAAACCGAGTCAATGGCGGTATCTACAGGTGAGTCCGCCAGCTTAGCCATGTTTAAAATGCTCCAGCAAGGCCCTTCTGACCGTCCTCATTCCTTCATGTCTCACCCCAAAAAAAACTTCTGGCATGTCATTGGTCCGACCTGCTGGTGGTTTGCAGACGGACATATTAGCAGGAGTCTTTCAAGATGGATTTGCTGTGAGACTGAAAACTCAGATCTAGCGGCAATCCAGCTTGCTCACTCAACAGGATTGTTTTTTACTTTAGGTACTATCAGAAATTCTATCCTTAACAGCAGAGAGCAAGAGACGGTGCATACAGTACATGTTGATGGGATCTATTAATGAGGAAGGGGCAAGTCTGTCAAGAATTTTCTAGGTTAAGAAGAAAACCTTGAAGTCAGCTCAAACCTGACAGGAAGCTGAAGAAGAGAGAGGCCAGTGGTTACCATGGTTTTCTTGGTTGTTCTGCTTATTAATGCTGTGAAATCATTGGGTGGACAGCCACGTCTCGGCCGATAAACACTTAGATCAGAACTAGGGATAAGATTAAGAACCTAGGAGGGGGTTGAAAAACTGTTAAATTTACACAATGGAAGACTCTGTTTAATAATTTTCATTTGGTGGCGTCAGATTATAAGAGACAGAATTTGTAAAAGCATTTTTTTCCCCATCACCTATCAAAAAACATTCCTACAAATAAATTTAGATTTTTGGTTATACATGTTATAAGGAAGGAAGTTAAGAAGCAATAAAATAAAATCGCCGTTTCAGACTTTTTTTTTTTTTTTACATTAAGTATTTCTATAATAGGTAATTACAGCAAAATGTAAAGAGTATTCGTTTTCTTTCTTTTTTAGAATGGTGGCCTAGATGTTAGGGCATAGATTGGAAACTAGAGGTTCTGAGTTCTAGCCCCACCCTTAACCCCACACTGC